AGATGAAATGAGCGGTTTAAGGGAGGGAGGATAATGAGGAGAAACGGAATTCGGTAATTAATGGGCGCGTTCTGGCAGGAATTATGCAAAATACTCCAAGCTCCTTATCGGGAAATATTTAGCTGCCGAGAGAGAATGAGAGAAAACGAAGAAGAAAAAGATAAAGGGGAAAAAGGGAAAAAGGGAAAAAGGGAAAGAAAGCGAGAGAGAGAGAGAGAGAGAGAGAGAGAGAGAGAGAGAGAGAGAGAGAGAGAGAGAGAGAGAGAGAGAGAGAGAGAGAGAGAGAGAGAGAGAGAGAGAGAGAGAGAGAGAGAGAGAGAGAGAGAGTAATGGTTTAGAGAGAGAGAGATAGTGAGAAACATCGAGATAAAGCAGAAATAGCAGGAAAGGAAAAAAAAAACAAAGTAGAGAAAAAATGAGGGAAAAAAGAATCTCAAACAGACAGAGACAGAAAAGAATATGCATGAGCGAGCGATAACAAGGCGGCGGGGGAGCCACGGCCCACAGATGCAGGGTCGTGTGTAGGAATCTTGGTGTCGTGTGCATCATCCTCTGTGGCCGAAGAGTCGCTTTATCATCCCCGGACACTCTCTACGTCCCGCCATTTTTTCCACGATAAAGAATAAAGAGAGAGAGAGAAGAGAGAGAGAGAGAGAGAGAGAGAGAGAGAGAGAGAGAGAGAGAGAGAAGAGAGAGAGAGAGAGAGAGAGAGAGAGAGAGAGAGAGAAGAAGAGAGAGAGAGAGAGAGAGAGAGAGAGAGAGAGAGAGAGAGAGAGAGAGAGAGAGAGAGAGAGAGAGAGAGAGAGAGAGAGAGAGAGAGAGAGGGAGAGGGAGAGGGAGAGGGAGAGGGAGAGAGAGGGTAGAGGGAGATGGAGAGGGGAGAGAAGTAGAGGGAGAGGGAGAGGGGAAAGAGGGAGATGGAGAGGGGAAAGAGGAGATGCGAGGGGAGAGAGAGAGAGAGATGGAGAGGGGAGAGAGGTAGAGGGAGATGGAGAGGGGAGAGAGGTAGAGGGAGATGGAGAGGGGAGAGAGGGAGAGAGAGAGAGAGGGGAAACTTTCATCATAAAACCCAACTTCAGCGATTATGCAAGACTCGAGTTGTGAAGTAAGACTGTAGAGGGTTGGGAGTGCCTTAATGAGCGCTGCTGAAGATTTGAATGACTCTTTTTTCTTCTCTGTTTTTCTCTTCTTTTATACGTTTTGAAAGAGAGTTGCTACTGCGTGTATTTTTGTGCGGTTTTGTGGGATCATTGGTTGTTTGCGGAAGGAGGAATGGTTGTACTAAAGCTGTTCGTTGCAAGGGTGGAAAATGTATAGCATTAAGAAAAGAAATAGAGCCAGACTTTTTATTTGTCTTCTTTTTGAGGTAGAAATAAGTGTTTCGGTCATAATAAGGGCTCAGTACTGCATCTTCTTTAACTCGACACACGTCTTCCAAAAAGATATGGATAACATTCTTAGATATCATCTTTTTTAAGCTTAAAGCAACAGCATAGGGATTAGATCCAAACATTTTACATTTCCAGATACTACATGGTATCATCCAACAGTATTTTATAGCCCATTTTGTTCCGAGATCCAGTTTGACCTCAACCAACAGTGCTGTATATCCTATTTTTTCAGAGATTCGGGGTCCAATTTCACGATGTATTGATAAGCTCTTCTCCCGCAGATCTGTGACACGTACCCTCAGGAGCTCTTCGTCCCCGCCTCGGCGCCCACGAAGGTCATCCTCAGCAGTTCCAAGTTCAGGAGCAAGGGCCGCTTCCCCGTCCTCTCTTACCTTCACAAAAACCAGGTACTGAACTTCGCCATAACTATTTTGATTAGCGTGGGAGCTGTAGGAAGTCGGCGTGGAAGAATGTTTGAGGGATGTTTTCTTATTAATTTTTTTCTACTTTTTTTTAGAAAATCAAAATTATGAGGGGGAGAAAATAAGAATGGAGAGAGAGAGTGAGTGAGTGAATGAATAAGTAAGTAAGTTTGGAATTTGGCTTTTCCCTCCACTTCTTCGTAAATATTAGGCTTTCAAGAACGTTCACGAATTTCCAAAATCACTCGGCTAATATCATAAATATTTCCGACCCCCAGGCAGCGCTGTGTCGGTCCTCGCAGCCCCTCTCCGGGTTCAGCGCTCGGTGCGAGGAGGATGAAGAGCTGTTGGACTGCATCCTTCACTCCAACCCAAACTCTTCACACATGATCGTTGTGGACACAAGACCCAAGGTGAGATAACACTCTTGTTGCGTTGAGGTCGAGTGGAGTGTTTACATCCCTTTGGAGAACGTTGGGGTCTGTTTATGATTTATATTGGCTAATCTTTTAAACAATTTTTTTATACAGGCAATTTTTTAGGGATTTTCTCTCGTTTCCACTATGTTTCCACTATGTATGTTTTCGCGTGTTCAATCTGCTTGTTACGATTTAACTTGAGAGTTCTTTACAGGCCTAATTGTAAAGCAATTACTGTAATACGAGGTACAAGTTCCCCCAGCATTTTGCAAAAGAGAATCCATTTCCAGGTTGCAAGTGCCCATTCCAAGTTTTATCCCGCGAAAACTTCTGAATCTGGGTTGGTTAAACAGGATGCTAAAATTATCTTTGTCTCCACAGATCAATGCTATGGCGAACCGCGCGGCTGGAAAAGGCTATGAGAATGAGGCCTATTACGAAAACATCAAATTCCACTTCTCTGGGATAGAAAACATTCATGTCATGAGAGCTTCCCTTACCAAGCTAATTGAGAGTGAGTACATATTTATGAAATGTGTCATCTGATGTTTTTGTTATTCTTGGTTATAGTATGAATTGTCATGTGTAAATCTGTTTCACACCTGATGTTGATGTTGGTTATAGTATGATAACGATTTATTCAAATATTTTTGCTAAAGCTATTCGGAAAAGCAAACCAAGTATTAACATTTATGCTAGATCGTATACGCTAAGAATATATTTGAAATATTCCTATCGCCGTTATATATAAAATCACACCACGTACATCCAAAGCTTTACTCCCTCCCATCATCCCAGCAATTTACGCCAAACTCCTTTTCGCAGCATGCCAGCTGGTTACCCCCTCGATGAGCGGCTTCATCGGGGGCGTGGAGTCGTCCGGCTGGCTGAAGCACGTGCGCTCAGTCCTGGAGACGGCGGCGTTCATCACCAGTTCTATGGTGGAGGGCGTCAGCGTCCTGGTGCACTGCTCGGACGGCTGGGATCGCACGGCCCAGACCTGCGCCCTCGCCCAGCTCATGCTCGACCCCTACTACCGCACGACTCAAGGATTCCAGGTGTGTTGCTTTGGTTGCTGGAGGCGGTCGAGGTCTGATCGTTGTTTTAGTACATGCGGTCTCTATATAATTTTCACACATTTTTTAAACATTGATAATGGTGATGCATCACATAAGATGAGGAACTGTACTTTTTTGTTGAATTATTATCTAAATACATGAAAGCAGACGTGAACGATTTTAACATTTTCTTCAGTATGAGTGTCCTACAATTATGGTTAATTTGCATATGATAAAGGAATCTTTGAAGATGTCACATAATTAGAGTAATCAAAGAAATTATTTATACTGCAATTCCTTTATTGCAGATTAATTCTCCTTGTGGAATTCTGGCTTCTCTAGACAAGTGAAATGTGGAGAGTCGGTCCTTAGACTTTCGAGAGAAGCTAAAATAATGTATATTGTAAAAAATTATATATATACTCATTTTCTTAGGAAATCAAGTTTCTAACTGTCTCTAAACTTTGCATGATTTGTAATAATAGTAGCAACATATTTGTAGATTTTATTATGATGATGATGATAGTAGTAACAGATTTCATGATAATAATGGTTGGCTAACATATGATGATCAATTAAAAAACTTACATTGAAAACGGGATAACAGTTTGCTATTTAACCTTTGTTAATGCAGAACATGATTTGGTATTCATCAGTAATAATATTGATCAACCATTATCACCATCATTGCCATCATCATTATTTTCATCATTATCATTTCCCTCATCATCATTTCCATCATCATCATCATTGTCATAATCATAATAATCATTATAATTATCATCATCAATTATCAATCATCATATCATCACCATCAGTAATCATCAATCATCATCCATCATCATCAATCATCATCATCATCATCATCATCATCATCATCATCATCATCATCATCATCATCATCATCATCATCATCATCATCATCATCATCATCATCATCATCATCATCATCATCATCATCATCATCATCCATCATCATCATCATCATCATCATCATCATCATCAATCATCATCATCATCATCATCATCATCATCATCATCATCATCATCATCATCATCATCATCATCATCATCATCATCATCATCATCATCATCATCATCATCATCATCATCATCATCATCATCATCATCATCATCATCATCATCATCATCATCATCATCAATCATCATCATCATCATTAAAATTGATAATGGTATTAACAGTGAGAATAATGATAGTGATCACAATAATAACAGTCTCGTAATATCTAGTTAATAACAGTAATGATATCAATAACATGAGTGACCGTGATATTAATGTAGCAGTATTGTACTTTTGGCACCATCATTGTAAACAACTAAATCAATAACAGAGGTATAAACAATAAAACGTTCAGCATATATTTTTCCAAATGACACACGTATCCACAAAATGGAACAATAATACTATGAACACTTACCCTCAAATGATATGCAATCCTGAAAGTTTTGGGAGCTGTTGGGAACTTGGCCAACTTTCCTCCAATGTGAGGAGGAAACTGGGAAAACTATGTAAAATTATGATTGTTTTAATGGGTTACCAGATAGGGGTGGCAGCAAGGGAGAGTTTGTAGAAAGATGAGGGAAGGGAAGAAAAGAGAGGGAGGGAGGCAGGCAGGCATGAAAAGAGGGAGAGAGGGGAGAAAAAAAGAAGCGACAGGGAGAAGAGAGAGAGAGACAAAAAAATATAGAGGATTAGCAGAGAAATGAAGAAAGTGAGAGACATGGAGAGAGAAAAAGAAGGCTTTTTTTAGAAAGAAAGGAAGAGAAGGGGGAAGGAGAGGATTGAGGGGAGAGAAATAGGAAGGAAGGGAGGGTAAAAGAGTAGATAGACAAGATAGGGGGTTGAGAGGAGAGAGACTAGGGGAGAGGCAAAGAAACAGAAGGAAAGAGTAGAGAGAAACAGGAAGAAATTGAGAGAGGTGAGAGAAACAGGAAGAGTGGGAGAGAATGGGAAGAGATAGGGAGAGAGGGGGAGAGGTAGGAAAAATAGTGAGAAAGACAGAGAGAGAGAGATTTAAAGATTTAAAGATTTAGTTTCAGTTCCATTTGTCACAATGGATATTCTTTGCTGTGAAATACTGTCTCTTTTATTTTGCTTCTAAATCTCCCCCTGTGTGCAAGGAATGGCCAGGGTTACCATCCACTGGTAGTGTGCAGGATCGAATGCAGGTCAGCAAGATTGCAAGCCCAGCATGTTACCACTGCACTACACAGCAGACATGGGAGAGGGAAATGTTAAAGTTGAAATGCCAAAGAACATGGGCTAAGGATGAGGAATGAAAAAAAAGAAAGAAATAGGATATAGATATAGATATAGCTGAAACTAACAAGGCAAAGAAAAAAATAGATTAATGGAGATAGAAAAATAATGAATTGAGAAGGTAAGGGAAAAAAGGAAAAAATAGGAGATAAATCTATTGGTAATCTAGCACTAACTACTAAAGGCTGTCAATACATTCTCTCCTTTTATAGATACTCATTGAGAAGGAGTGGTTGGCATTTGGACACAAGTTTACTGATCGCTGCGGACACATTCAAGGTGATGGCAAGGAAGTGTCGCCGATCTTCACACAGTTTCTTGGTAATTGTCTTCCTCTGTGTATTTCCTTAAATAAAATGCCTTTAACTATTAAATATGATATGCTATCTGTAGCTGTGTCTCAGAAAGCTTTTACTGGATTGATCTTTATGGATGAAACAAATTTGTAAAATGATTTTGAAAATGCTCAAGTTTCTCAGGAAAAGTTTTGTAAATATAAATTATGTATTACTTGTCAGAAATTAAATATAAGGGCTGTATTAGTGTTATAAATAATATTATAACTGAATAAGTCATCAGAGAATCTATCATTATGAATATGATATATATGTTTGACCAGTATGTTTGTGGTGTACATATAGTATACAAACATAATCTAATCATTTCAGATTGTGTGTGGCAACTGCAACAGATTCTGCCCTCAGCCTTTGAATTTAATGAAAGATATCTGCTAATTCTTCATGATCATGTTTACTCAGCTCAGTTTGGAACTTTCATTGGAAATTGCCAGAAGGATCGCATTGATCTAAGGTAAATTTGATATTTATATATCTGGCAGTATTTGGAGAAATGTTAACCCTATTTATATTTCAATAGAAGGATACACAAGTTCATAAAACACATAATCGCTAATTCATGATGGATCATGTGTCTGTACAGATTAGCAGAAAGGACTTACTCCCTCTGGGGCTACATGAAGATGCATGAAAGCGAGTACAAGAACCCTCTGTATCGAAGAGACTCAACTACAGATGTCCTCAAAGTCATTCTTTGTCCTCAGAGCATCAGGTTTGTCTTTTTTTGTTTTTTAAAATGATTATATTCATTTTTGTTTACATCTTTCTCCACCTTTTTCTCATACTCTCAATTAAGGCCTTGCTTAAAATAAAATGTATTAGAAAAGCATAGGGCAATGTAACTTCAGCTTTTATGGCATAATTTTTCATTGTATGCAAAAAATATACAAATTATGGAAGTGTTTATAAAATTTATAAGACAGATAAAGGAAGAGAGTGGGGGGGGGAACACTATTTTACCTCTCCACTATCACTTAGTACAGGGCACAGCTGAACATTTTCCTCCCATCCAGGTTCTGGCGTGGCATGTACAACCGCTTCGAGAATGGTGTGCATCCACGAGAGCCTCTGGGTGATCTCTTGGCGGCAACAACAGAGCACACACAAGGGCTCACCGACCAGGCAGAGTTTCTTACAAAGGTGAGACTTTCTTTGATATAGCATTAGGAAAAGAAAGGAGAAGAAGGAAAACCTTGAGAAAACATTATGAATAAAGAGCAATAAAGAATGGAGAGGTGGATAATAGAATGGAAAGGAAGTCTCAAAAAGGAATCATAAAAATAAGATGGATACAATAAGCACAGAGCACAGTACACTGATGAGTCAGGTGCATTTACATTGATTTGCATTAATTGATTTTTTTTCACATCCCCAGCGCATCACTTGGCTCAAGAGTGAGTTAGAACTGAAAAGTGGCCATTCACAGAAGAAAGACACAGACAACCGGTTACTTGAGGATGGAGCACAACAGGTATAGTATTTCCACTAAAGATGCAGATGTTCTGATTATAAAATAAAGTAGGATATACATTGAATTGAATGAATGAAAAGAACATTTTTCTTCATTACTGTATAATGTTAGCATAAAGATTTTCTCTTAAAATGATATAACGGTACTATTTCATCCAAAGTACTAGTTTTATGGTTATGGTAGCAAAAGAATTAATTTGCTTCATAAAGATTCACAATGAATCCAGAGAGTGGGGATGACTTAATGTTCCATATTCCTTAGGAATATTAAGGCAGAATTTGTGATAGAAGTCTTCTTGGACCAGCAACATTTCTCATCCCGTATTCTGGCTTAAAGTGGGTTGCTTTAGGTAGCTAGGACCAATCTGACATCTACCAAACTGACACAATTTAGAAAACATGATATGCTGGTTTACAGCAATGATGTCAAATCAGCATCACTTCACTCAAGAAGATAAGCACCTAAAGAATATTTACACAGTGATGAACAATGAAATCTTACTTCAACAGAATGGAGACGAAAAGGTCAGTCCCTTAGTAGGTGGCCTGAGTATGCGAGAAGTCGAGGAGTCCCTGGTTTCCGTTGGTGCTTTGACTGTCAACAGTGCAGATGCAGCTGTTACACCTGAGAAACTCTCCCCAGGATCCAACTTTATTCATCCAGCACAGATTATAGAGAGCGGCAAAAGGTTGTTGGTAAGTAGTCTACTGGAGTCGTGATTTTTGGAGAGGGCAATAACATGATGCTGGTGATGTACTTCTCCTTTATTTGTACCTCTGTTGTACATTATATATATTTTGTTTGCTTCTCACTTTATGCATGAAAAATGATTAAATTAATTGATTTTTTGTTCCATTTTCTTTTATTAGTAGTTATGACCGTCTTATGAATCAAATTTCAATATCACTATTGCTGGTAACATATAAATTACAAACACACATATATGTTCCTTCTTTCTCAACAGAATCAGTTGTCCACGTACCAGTCTACTAGAATTCTTTCACCTGAAATCACTTCTGTAGCCCTGGATTGGAAGACCTTCAGAAATGTTCGAGAGTGTTCTTGTTCAACACCCTTTGATCACTTCAGTCGTAAGGTTAGTTGAGTCCCAGCCTGTTTCTTTATCACTGGATAAGATTTGAAAGAATAAAAGTCATTCATAAGAGCACTTGTAGAGAGATATGGAAATTTATCAAGTTGTACTGAGGAGAGATTTTTGGATAAAATGGAAAGTAAAAGATTGAAATTATATTATTTTGAGAGGGCTATCATCTACTGCCTTTTAGTAATATATATATATATAGCAAGGTTACCAGAATTTGTATTGATATTTTGTTTAGTGTAATATAATTGATAACCTTTGAACATGAAGATTAATTATGAGTTAGCTTGATTACCTTTCTTGGTTGTATAATGCATGCATAACATTTATGAAGCAAAGTTACAATGTGATTCACTCTATGACAGTAAGATATACATTACCTTTTTTCACATAATTTTGAGAAAACATGTATTCTAATACTCTTCATGCTCCTTCTCTTCCTCATAGTACCACTGTTGGCGATGTGGAGAAGTCTTCTGCACAAGATGCATTGACAAGAAAGCAGCACTCCCTGGTCACTTGAGCCAGCAGCCTGTACCCGTGTGCCGACCCTGCTACAAGGATGTCACTCGTTCCATCTCCGTTGATACCCCATAGATAATTGTGGTTGCTATTGACACTGTGGATCTTTGATAATGTGGCCTCAAAGTTGTTGCTATTTTCTACCGTATATTTTGTGATGAATAAGGAATTTTCATGTAACTTCAGATCTATTTTCTTCTTATTTTTTTCACATAGGATGAAATTTGTTGGGTTGACCAACAGGAATTTTTGATGCAGGGAATATTAGAGGAGGTTATGGGTTTTGCCTTCTCAGGGTATTGTTAATCACAAATGTATCGTAAATCTTAACTGTCCAGGCTACAGGATAGTGTGGTGTGTATGCATTACTTTTGTATCTGTTCCTTTGATTTTTGTTGGAAAACTAAGTATCTTTGAGACAAGGAGCTAAATTTGATGAACAGGTTATTCAGTAATCATGTAATTCATGGAGGCTATTATCAAGACAAAGTTCACTTTTAGAATAATTTATAATTACTTATGAATATTTAGTGACTAAGATTATGATTATTCTAGTAAATTTAACTTGTATAAAAAAAATACATTGTGATTTCCTATCATTATATTGCAGAGAGCCATCATGAATGTGACACAGAATAAATCTGTTTATATCAACCTATATCAACATTGATTTAGCACTTTGATGCTGACATAATCAAATAAATAATTTGTAGTCATTTATATCAATTTTTTTCCTTCTTTAATAGTAGAATCTAGATTTTAGGTCTCAGGAGCAGCCTAGTCATTTTATTTCATCCATATAACATTTCCAGATAATAATTCTTTTCCTTAGTTTGTCAGAGAAGAGTTGCTCCTCATCAGTTGTGATTTTCCCAGTGTACTGAAGGAAAAGGGTTTTCTAAAAGTTATGCACTGGCTATCTATGATATCAAAGGTTTTATAGCATTATTTTTTCAATAGAGGTTGTGACAGTTGGCTATCTGTCTAGTGTAGAATCAAGTGGTTAACATTATCCTGTCAAAGTTAAAATGTAACTGTTGAATGTGGCTAGTCACTACCAGTTTGATTTAGTAAAATGAAAGGGTACCGTTACCTTGTTAATTACATTTCTTGTTGTTCATTGCTCTCTTGGTGGTATAGTACCCCTCTTTTCAATATACTTCACAGTAGATCTTGCTCAGAAATAATTACTGATTTTGTAGTTTTTAATCCTATGTATAGACTATTAAGAACACAGTAGAGGTAATTCTTTAAACATATTTTAAGTTAATATTTTGATAACTCCTTGCACTCATTTTGTCCATATTGATTATCACTGACAGCCCTAATCTTGTAAGCTTGATCATGAAAGACAAAGAAAGCATGGAAGAGTCTCTCTATGGAACAGAAGATTCAGATATCTTATACCTTTGTTTATTCAGAAGACTTACTTTCCACACATGATATGGTGCATAATACCTGTCAGTAAGGATGCAAAATCTTATTGATGATCAAATCTTGGCTGTTTTATCCACAGTTTAGGTCTCTAGCAACTAAACAATCAATACATATTTGTCCAGTATTTATTATTGAGACATCCCACCTATTCTCATTTCAAGTTCAGGTGATTATGAAACAACCACAATCTAGGACTGAATTGTTCGAATAACTTTCAGGTAAACTAGATCAGCTGATTCCAAGAATAGTTAATTAATGATCTACTGCAGAGATGTAAGCTTTAGATTTTTATCAAGGCTGTCTGTAAATACATAATAACCAGACCTTAAACAAATGATTTTTTTTTCTAGTTCTAGCATCTGAAGTAGGTGATAATGACCCCACCTTACACCTCCCATAAGTAATGAAATCTTGCCCTCAGTGGCCAACTACCTTTATGCTACAATTTGTGGCTTCCCCTGTGATAGTGTGCATTGTGATACACAACCGAGGAATAGCAAACCCAGACTTGTGCATGATGCCACATGCAGTGTAATTAGTATACAGTAGCTAGAGTATTCTGCCATCATTCTAGAGTCTTTGGTTATTTAATAACTATCTGTAAGACGTGTACAACAGCTGATTGTAATCTGTCATATTATTTATATTCTTTGATGTTTGCTCATGGTCTTTTGGCATATTTATTTTGAAATTATGTCTGCAATGACCAGTGTCCACATACCGTGTACTGGTTAAGTTCCACAAAGTATCACAGCTGAGTTCAAATCATGGTGTTTTAAATCCCAAAACTCAATTGAAATGAGGTTTTTAATTATGATTTGTATAAAATCTTAATTTTAAGTTCTTTACTCCAATTTTGTATTTTCTTTTGCTTGTGTATTATAATGGTACTACAAGGATTACAGTTTTCACTTAGACTTTAGATATATTCACACAAGCATACTTTGTTTCAGGTGGTTGTGTAATTCGTATGTGCATGTGTATTTTCCTTTCTGAGATTGTCCCTTGACTCAGAAACAGATTGAAGCAAACAATATTTTGATTTTTTCTCTACTATATTGAATTTGTTACCATACAGGTGAAATATTTTCTTGCATAATATACAATTTTATAGTGTTCCACTGTATTGGCTTGAGGCTAGTATACTGAAATGAAAATTTAAAAGAGAATAATCAATGAACAAAATACTCTCATAAAAGATAAAATCTTCAAAGTCAATAATGTTGAATATGGATCTGATTCTTTGTAATGCAAAAATTATTATAATATATGTAGGACATTAGTGTTGCATACAAGACCAAATTGGTAGAGATTGAAAATGTTATACCCCATAAGACTTGAAAGATATTTGGTCAGGGATGAAACCAATAGCTGAAAGCTTGAAAAAATAAATGGAAATTACTATTATTGTTATTATTTTGAGTATATGATAATAACTAGTTTGTATTCAACATATCCAAAGACTTCTTTTGTATGCTGACCTTGTCATATTGTGTAGTATTTCTATACAAAACCTCTTTTCTGGAGTGTGTTAATATTTCATACATAAACCCACAATATTTTTGCATGATATTTGATCTTGCAAATATTATGTTTCAATACATATATACTTTTTCTTTTCTTTTTTTTAATAGGAAGTATACAGTACTCAATACATTTTATCATATCTCTATAGTCCGATTTCATAATATAACTTGAAGTGAGATCCTTTTTGGGTCACTGTACAAAGGTACGGAAGTACCGTGATAAAGAAATAAAAAGAGTTGCTTTATCAGTTTGAGCCTCTTATGTAAGTGTTCTGTGTTGTCAGCTTGTATCTGTTGAAATAGACATGAAGAAGTCCTGAACTCTATTGTTCATTTCTGTTGATGAAAAAAAAAAAAAAAAAACCAAGCATATTTAGAAGAAAAATATGACTGCTTCAATTTTACAGCTATGAAACAAGACTCATCTGTTGTTTGTAGAAATCCACAAAAGACAAGTGCTTAAGTATGATAAAGAATATTTGATTATTTAACTGTAAAACAGTGTTCATTGGGTCATTATACATCAAAATTATTATAAAACAACAACGAAGACCCATCTCAACTGCAAATATCAAATTACTTAAATATAAATGTCTGTATTTCTTCAATGAAGTGAAACACATGTAGAGCAATACTCGTGTTATAAATATGTTACCACTCAAGCTTTGCAGTTTCAAATCTTAATGGATACTATTTATGTACATTTTCCAAGTATTTCATTTTTTTTGGTCATTCTATAATCTCTTTTATAATTCCCACTATGTATTATCAGATCTTTGTGATTTACCTTTTATATAATCTGGGGAAATGCCTCTGTATATGTATATCTGTGAATACTGGATTATTTTTCAATTTATTGTTCCACTACAAATGTCTCTGCTTGATGATCACTAAATTCTCAAGTTGAATAGTAACTTCACAAACAAAAAGAAAAAAAAAAAGATAAAAACAATCTCTTATTTGCATTCCAATTACTGTTTTAAGAAAAGCCCACAATTCTTCATTACATTTGTATTTAATACTGGACTGTACACCCTTAATGGAAGGGTGATGTGTATCTTATTTAAGTTTCTTCAATCATTATGTGAGTGGTGTGTAGTCCATGATAACAATTTGTATTATGATATAATAATCTTGATCTGTAAATAGCAAAGCTCTTAACTTGTATGTTGTATATAGGATACTGGCAGCACCTAGACTTATGGGCCATTGGAAGAACTACTTATTTTTTACATGTACAATAATGCTGATATTGTTAAATAATGTTATGAATAGCAAGTCTATGATCTGAGGTGTGAAGTAAAGTAAATAAATATTATGTGTTTCTTATATCCTGTGGATACACAGTGAAGTGAATGTGCTAGATTTACATTAGAAGGTTTATTAGTAATTCAGCTTCAAAAGCAAAATCAAGAAAAACGGAACTAGATAAAACACAGAAGTAAGACTAATGCCCAATTTAGCTGGAGATCCTTGTCATTCGGAGTACAGCTAGGGTTAACAAAATGATTGATAGAAGAAAATATAGCTACCTAACTCTTGAAAAAAGAAATGGAATAAGTGAATTGCATTACTAAAGTAAAGGAATGGAGTCTATAATAATTCCTGTTTCTTAATTCAAATAATGAAAATGCTATCTAATGGAAAATGAAAGCCTAAGGAGAAACAGAAATGGTAATTATCATTGCAATAAATATGTAAAGCCAAAGGGGATATAAATAGGAATTATCATTGCAACAAATATGGGAAGCCAAATGGGAAACAGAAATGGAAATTCTAATTGCAAATATGGGAAGCCCAGGAGGAAACAGAAATGGGAACTATCATTGCTGCAAATATGACAAGCCCAGAGGGAAACAGAAGTGAGAATTCTAATTACTTTAAATATGGGAAGCCCAGGGAGAAACAGAAATGGGAATTATCATTGAAATATGGAAGCCCAGGGAGAAACAGAAATGGAATTATCATTACTGAAAATATGGGAAGCCCAGGGAGAAACAGAAATGGGAATTATCATTACTGAAAATATGGGAAGCCCAGGGGCAACAGACATGGGAATTATTGCAACAAATTTTAAAAAGCCCAGGGGGAAAAAATGGAATTATTGCTGCAAAGATGGGAAGCCCAGGGGGAAACAAATGGGAATTATTGCTGCAAAGATGGGAAGCCCAGGGGAAAAGGAAATTAGAATTATTGATGCAAATATGGAAAGTACATTATAAATAAGGGGTGAAAATTACTGCACTTGTAGTAGCTAACACAAACACCCAAATTAATATAACACTGTAATGAATCATCAAAGTTCCCACTGACAATAGCAGTTTAAAAGTTTATCTGTTTGAGGAGCTGTTAATAGAAGTGCCTTCCCCAATGTAGCCATCAGATTTCAGGTGGTTCCTTGTCTTGTCTTTACCGCTAAAACAACAGAGAAACTAGATTAAAAAATATGTGAGGCAAACAATCTGACTAATCATAGTGTACTGTAGAATCAATATTTAGTTTTAAAATTTGATGATGAATTTAACCCTTGCCATACCCTTTTTTACGAACAGGGGGAAAAATGTGTCCCATTTGAGAACCATTGTACAAGAACAAGTTTAGCAGGCTGCTTGATGTGAAGAAATCAGAATATCCTCTAAAAGATACAGAAAGTCAAGTGAGGAACAAACCTCCAAATATCTAAACATATTTAATTCAGTAATGATCTTATAGAAACCAGCAAAACTATGCACTTAACTGTTCCTCTCAAAAATGTACTATATTCTTTTTATTGTGTAGTCTCACTACACTCTTTGGCCTACCGCAGAAGACATATATATGATTAACTTTAATTGTTCACATTTCAAGAAAACTATGAACCTTCCGCTGCTATACATATTGATGTACTCGAAGTGCCAATTACATATCTTGCATAATAAGATAATTTATTCTCATTCATATATTCTTGTACATTCACCATTCAGAACAGTTAACTTGATATTGACATCATTACCATTATCATCATCATCCTACTATAGAACTTTTATAATATCATGATCATTATATTATCATAAATTCATTATCATCATATCATCAATACTATTTCATTATCACTATATTGTCATTATTAAATTATCATCACCATTATCAAATCATTATAATATCACTAACATATTGTCATACTATTGTGCTATTATATCATTCTTACATTAATATCATATTATTGTCACACCATTATTATGTTATCATCATATTATTATTTTTATCATTATAATTATATTATTATATAATTTTATAACTGTCATATTATTATATAGTGTTATTATCATCATCATATTAAAATATCATCATCATCGTATTAAAATATCATCATATCATTATAATTACTATTACTATTATCACCATTATTATCACCACTAATATCACTATTACTGTTATTATTATTATCATTATAACAGTTATTACAATCGTCATTGTTATTATTATCATCATTACTATTACTATATCTATAACTACTATCTCCTTCCTGCTCATCATGAATCATCATTATTACTATTATTGTTATTATCATTATCATTATTGTAATTACAATCATCATTATCTTTAATGTTATTACAATCTTTACTATTACTATTATTATTACTATCATTAATATTAATATTATTATTTCTATCATTATCATCAATATTACTAGTATTACAATTACCTTTACTTGTATTATCATTATCATTACTATTTTCATTAGCATTATCACATTCATTATTATCATATCATTATTACTTTGAGGCTACTATTTGCAGTTGAAGTTGATAACAGTAACTATAATTCAAACTAACTATAACAACAATATCAAAAACAAAAATAATAATGACAATAATGGTTTCCAACACAAAACAATAGTAGTAATAGTAATAATTAATAATAATGATGATAATTTCTATGCGACACATCAAATTCAAGTATATAAAGGCTGAAACAATAGTATTATAATGTATTCTAATATATTTAACAACTATGCTATGATTATATAAGATGAATATAATCAAGGTTTTATCAGTTGTCAACATTAAAGCAACAATTTGTTATTTTGTATAAAAAGTAAGATATCACTTAATCTTAATCTGAATACATTTATAAAACACACACTCTCTCTCTCTCCCTCTCCCCCCACCATCCCTTCCTCCCTCCCTCTGTCTCTCTCTCTCTTTCTCTCCCTCTCCCTCTCCCTCTTTCAGGTTTCGAGAAGTTTATTAATTAATAATTTTCAAGTAGAATAGAATCACTGAAAGCACTCTTCTGGAAATTTAATTACTCCTTTTATATAAAGTACGTTTCCATACACAGTACTTGTACAGGTCAGGATACATATAAAAGTGGTTCTAATCAACCCGTATTTTTGTTGTTGATTAAATATTTAGAACTATGAAAATGCAGCCTGTCTTGAATTTATTAATACAGTGATAACATGAACTGCTGCACATTTCAACATGAGCATTTATGCTGCAACAAAAGCTTCATAATGCACTCTCTGTATAATTCAATTAACAAATAGCTAATAATGCAACAGGAGAGTGCCATCGGTTAGTATAAAACCATGTGCAACAGAACCATGATAAATACATAGTAAAGAACAGTGAATCTTGCAAAGCATAAGAAAATACGAGTTTGCTCCTAATTACCGAGGCAAATTTCCCGATGTGGCAACTCTAACATTCTAGCCCTGCCAGACGTACATAAAATTAAATTTTCGTTGTTTCGAAAATGTTACCCTAAGAAAATCTATGTCTTTTATACTATCACATGTCTGTGCGGTATTCATTATCAGACGCAGCATCTGTAAGACATGGCAATAAGGTCGCATGACGAGAAACCTACGAGAGAAGAAGAGAAAAAATATTGTTGAATGCTTATTTATGCCTTCGCACATTCTCCAACGCTGGCGTCTTGTTTCTGCAATCATTAAAACGTGGTTGCTAGTCGACCCCTCTGCACGGCTGGTGTGAGAACCTGTAGGAGGAACAGAGGTGTGCGAAGGAGAGAGAATGGAGAAATGAAGAGCACGTAGAATCCGCGGGATGTTCATTGGCTGGTTGCTCAGTCCGTCTGTTGCAGTTTGCCTGGCTATCCTCGAGAGAGTTGGGTATATACTTAGAAAGGGCCCAAGTGCTGAATAGAAGTCTCGTTGTGAACACTTGGTGTGCACACGGGACCGGTGTCTGAACCGACTGGTTCACGTTTTGGATAATGAAACGATGATGACTTTCTGGCTGTGCTGGTTGGGCGGTTCTCACTGTACAACGTTCTGCTGCCTGAGTCATAATTGCAGTAGTTGATCGTTACTATGAATAAGTGTTAATAGAAGGGTCACCTAGTTGAATATACTATTTTGCGAATCCGAATTGTATTATATTAATCAGCTTGGGTAACGTGGTAATTTCGTGGGGTGGATTACTATATCTGTCTGTCGCTAGTTTTGTAGTGGTTACTATTAGTGAAAGAGATTGTTGATATGTTTCATGTGATACATGGACTTATTTTGTCCTTTTTAGGTACCACTTATCTAGTGCATTGAACAACCCCCCAAAAAACGTGGGACTTGTGCACTGTTTTATTTTGTGTACTGTAGTTCGTTTTGGTGCACCTCAATTTTGCCTATACGGTTGTCCTTCAAGTACATTTATGTATAGTCGTGAATGTATTGTGAAGCCCACAAGAAATGTTTGTTGGTGCAGACTCATCTATGCCTTCACTTGCTCGATCGGACATAAACGGAAAATTGTAACGCTCGTGCGCGTTCTAGTGCGGCAACTCTCCCTAAACGGAAGAAGACAGGGCAGTCGCACGCCGAATGTCCCAGCTAAACTAAACTTCGGCTTCAGACCTGAGTGATTGGCCCGTTAGAAGCCAGACCTGACTATGGTGATGTTGCCATTGGTTAATGTGGATAAGTGCCTCGTGGGAGATTTCTCTCAGCCGCTCGCCTCAATCGTCTCGGCGGGCGCCGCCTACGACCGAGCCCTAAAGCCGCAGGTCGAGTCATTTCTTTCTATGCTTGTGGGTAAGGTCGAGTGCTTGCGGTGGGTAAGTCGGTGGGGCGTGGTGTTATGATAATTGGATTGGCATAGGATAATTTTGGCGTGGCTGGCAGAGTAAGATATTACTGTCGATCTCGATGTTTTATATGAGAGTTTCTTTACCCCATACATCCAGATTGAACTTACGTTTTATTTTCTATGTAAGTTTTCAAAATACATTTTTAATTAGTATCTTGCGTGTGTATAGGTATTTTAAACTTAAGGTAAAAATAGGCGTGATATTCGTTGGGCACTCCTGATTGCC